AATATTTGACAAGTATTTGTTGTTCTCATGAACAAATAGTTCATGTGATAATATTTACAATTCCTAATAACGTTCAATGGTTAGTTGTGTATATTTCATTAATTCATTGCTTGGGTTATGTCATACAACAATATAATATGCAACAGGGTAACATGCGCAGATTATAGGAAAGTGCTTCCAAAAGTTTTTCATTCTTTTGTAACTTAAAACAACTCACAGGAATAAAAAATCACGTTTTTACATTGAAACTATGAATAAATTTGTTTGTTAGTAATTAAGGAATTAGATAACTCAATAACATAAGTTAAGCTAAAGCTTTCTCTTTTTTTCCCTTTTAAGAAAACAAACAGCTTCACCAGCTTATATAAGCCTTCTTTTTAACAAGCCAACCAACTTAACACAGCTTATGTCTCAACAGCTTTAGGGGCTATTTGGAAGTAGGATTTAGGCTGGATTTGAGCGAAATCCAGCCAAACGGTCTAAAATGCAAAACCAAATCTCAAGGCAAATGAAAGTTGCCATAGACAAAAAATTACTCCTTCTCACGATAAATCCCGGATTTCCGAAATCTTGTGATTCGGCATATTTAATGCTTTGTTGGAGCTAGAAGGAAGAAGAGTCCACTCTTTTATGCTCTACAACCAAACAATCACATATGATTTAACAGGATTTATCATGAATGTTACCAAACAATTTCCAGGATTTAACCCCCGCCGATTTCGTAATTCCGGATTTACGAAATCCTACTTAAATGAAATTCTGGGTGCTACCAAACAGCCCCTAAGACTTATCTTCCCTTAATAACTTATCATCATAAATAAACAGACAATCAAATAGGCCCAAAGAATAACTTTCAGTCTTTCACCAACAAACAAATGTATAACCCTTTTGATAAGCAGCAACCCAATCTATAAAAATTATCAACCCAGTAATTCAAAATCCATCTAAGACTTCATTTGGGACAACTTTTTTACTGCTTTTTGAGGCCGTTTTCTAGTATAAAAATTTAAATTTTTTAACTTAAAAACAGGTTCAAGAAGCAGTAAAAAAAGCCATCCAAACCAAGCCTAAATTTCATCCAAGGCACCAGGTAGTAAAAATACATAAAAGATCATTGCCTGAAATAGTAAACAACAAATTTCACATGGAAAAAAAAAAAAAAATATATATATATATATAGAGAGAGAGAGAGAAACCATAACCCAACAGATAACATGCCTTCTACGCATCAGATCAGATCGCACCAACGAAGGAGGAGGAGGGAGATCAAGGCATCACCGCGTGCCTAATGATATGGTGGGGTACAAACAGGGCCGAGCTTTTCGCCAAAGGCGGGGTCATCGCTGCGGTAGGGCGTGGACGAGTTCTGGACAGAAAGCATGAGAGGCCGGTCCTTGGATTCTTCCTCGATCTCTTCGTCGTGATCTATCGTGGCAAGATTGATGCAGGAGAAGCGCTCCAGAGAGGCAAAGAAAACCGAGGCTAGGCTTGTGCCGATCCAGATCGCCATGCCCTCGAGCTTCGCGCAGGAAGTTGCGCCTCCGTTATCGACACCGGAGCGCGGATATTCCATTAGTTGTCACCACCGACGCCGAGGCCGCAACCGAATTTGAGTCGGATCGAATCGATCAATCGTATAGCCGAAGTGGGAGGAGAAGAAAAGTTCACGAGAGACCTCGAGTTGCAGGTAGAGAAGACGAGCTTGCAAGAAAAGCTTTTAAATTGTATTTTGGCAACCTAATCAATTGGAAATTTTGTTCACCCACTCGCTTCCTTTCATGCAATAATGAATATTTCATAGGGTGTTATGTCAATGTTAACAGATTAATTAAATTAAAAAAATTATTTTAAATTGCCCACAAAATCAGGACAACTCAATAGGAGAATATAGTCAATCTATATAATTTATTCAAAATATATAGATTAGTCTTAGATGAAATCAGCAAGAAAATGTGATAGAGATTATTGTCCACACAAAATCAACATAATAAAAATAATATGACTCAAAATATAATGGCATTCAATTAGTTGTCGGTGATTGAATATTCGAAAGGATTAGTAGGTTGTGTGTTATGTGAGATATTGTGATTTGATAGAGCTATAAACTTCAGTCGATATATATTGGATTCTTTTAAGACAAACAATCTGATGGCACGTATCACCAACTTTTTTGTTAATATAATCAACTAAAGCAAGCGTGCATAATGCATTCCATGTTTCCAACATCAAGAAAATATGATTTTGATCTAACATACATACTTCGTTAAGGCCCTTATACACCCATGACAAAATGTGCAGGTTCCTGTTCAGAGGTGTCTTGTATATTACGTTCGAGTCGAGCGGAAGGAGTAGTCTCTTCTCCCTTGGAACAGTCCATTCAAGGGACTCGCTTAGGTGTTGGGAATGAGCTTAACACTGGAGCGCGGCGGACTAGCTTTGACTATCACTTCCAGGCGATCGCCCTCCCCGGTGAGGACGACCTTAGAAGTTCCTCTCTAAGTTAGATGAATATTTATCCACCCCAGCTACAGTCAAGCCCCCCATGCGAAACACGTCAATGACTAAGTTGACAGCATCTATCTCTCCCACAAGACTTCCATTGCAATCAGATCGACCTCAAGAAGGCATTAAAACGCTACTCACCCCTCTCAGCTCATTAGGGCGACCTCAGACCAGTTCCTGCTATACACTTGATTGCATCCAGATATTACTCGCCTCTTTTACCTCAATGGGGCGACCCCAGACTGGTTGCCTATCAACTCCGACTCGATCCACGTGTTCATCCTACCTGCACCCCCTTTCGTAGTATTAGCCATTTCAATCAACACAAATGATTAAGCTACATCAAAGATGGATGAGATAACTATTATATCTCATAGATATCCATGGTAACTCCCCAAATCCAATAAAAAGGGAGCAGGAGAACACATACATGAAAAAGATGCAAAAGAAAAAGAGAAAAAAGAGAGAGTATGTGATATCTACTTCTCTCTAAGACAGATCTCTTTTTTTTTTTTAACTCCCACCTTTGAGGAGAAAGATATGTTGTATTGTTTTCCTTTTTCTTAGCTTAAGCTTTGCAACATAGAGTAGGGGTGTCAATATATGACATGACCAAAAAATCTAACCCAGATATGACCTGAGAAATTTCAGGTTTGGGACAACCCGTTTAACAAATGGGTTGGGTTTGTGTTTGATTTTTTAACCTATTTGTTATATCTGGTTGGGTTTGGGTTAACTTGTGAACCCAAAAAATAATCCATATGACCCTCCCTCACTTGATCGGATCTCACCTCATCCATCACACTCGTTACTCATGTTTGCATGCCTCGCTCACAGTGTCGCCCGCTATACCTCACCCTTGCAGCCTCTCCTACTAGCTCACTCACCCGCTCGTGGGTTAAATGGGTCGGTTCATGTCGATTAAGTTGGTGTCAGCCCGGTTTGGGTCAAGATTTTAAACCCATTTGGACAACTGGGTAGGATTCTGGTCGAACATGTTAAGATTGGGTTAATTTCGAGTTTGACCCGAACCTGACCCGAAAACATATTTTGACACTCCTAACGCAAAGCCCTCACATCTGTTTATTCTTGTACATTTTATTGTGATAATAAAGCTTTTGTCATGATCTACATATTCTCTCACCGTCTCCCTCGTTTCCTCTTGTATTCTAACTTCATCGCCTTCACCCTTAGGCTCTTAATCCACAGGTGGCCTGAAGTACGACTCGACATCATCCACTAGACAAAATATGATTCAACAACCTTGATGAATTATAATTGCTTACACAATCTTAGTTATGAGGTGAAGTTGAATAAAAGTCTGGCTTGACCAAAAAAAAAAACTCTGCAATAAGATGATCCTAATGCTAAAAGTTTTATGAAATAATCAAATGTAATAAGAACTTTTTACATACGCAAATGATATCCCAACATCTTTGGTGAAACATTTATTTAATAATTTTTTTATGATGATAATTTATTTTAAGGTTGTGTGAATGTAATGATGGAGAATTAAAAAACATGGTGAAAGACATGAAAAGAATGCCTATATAATATGATG